TCCTCTACTAGTGGTCATGCTGGCTATGGCTGGTAGAAATTGCAGGCTTGAGTCCAAGCTATCTGAAAGCCCGCATCTCCCTCTGTGAGCCTGCCTCGGCATTTAGATCAGGGGAAGCCTTTCTTTTTGTCTCACCACCCTCACTCACAACTGCACTTGGTGGGGACACAAGAGAGACTTTTCTATTGCTGTTCCAAGACTCTGGTATTCCCTCCCATCTTTGCAGTTCCTCCACAAGCAGGCAAAGACCTTTTTTTTCTTCAGATGGGCTTTTTCTTAGTGACTGGCAGTCTGAGAGGTTCTTTGTGCTTTTTTGCTTTTAAATGTGTTTTTAGTATTCCTTGTAACCATTTTTAATATACTTGTTTAATTCTTCATAAATGTTTGTATACTTAGTTTTTAGCTTTTAAATAGTAACCGTTTTTAATATACTTGCTTAATTCTTCGTAAATGTTTGTATACTTTGTTTTTAGGTTTCAAATATCATAAATAAAATAAATGATGGCTATGTCTCTGAATTGCCAGTTGTCGGAGAACAAGAAGCAGAAAGATGAAATGCCACACGCTCCTCAGTCATGTCAGGGCACCCACTGCCCATTCTACATTCACAGTTCTTTTAACATTGCTCCCCCCCCCCAGCATAATCCATTACCTAGTACAAACCATCGCGCCTCCCATGTCCCTGGTGCAGGTACTTCCAAAAGGAGGTTTATCTCAGGAGTCAGCACCATAGCTGCAGTTGGTGCCTTTGACACCTCTCCAACCTGGTGGAGGTTGGTGTGGGGAGGTATCTGTCACAGAACATGGATTATGACATTGCTAGGAAACCAAGACAGCTAACTCTTTTCCAGGTTACAACCACTAAGTTGTGGAGGAATTGCCACAGACTGCTTCCCTGGCTGATGGATCAGAAAACTCCCTTGTGATCACTTAAATACACGGTATAAATACACCAGGTAAATGAAAAGAAAAATCTCTTGAATGGCAATCCATCCTCAGGAGAATCACATTACATTTTTATTACAAACACCAACAGTTTGCCACCTGGCAGAATCTGACTTGAGGTGTATCTAGGAAACTCAAAAGATGTATGATTTAAATTGGTAGCTGATACAAGGGCTACTCGGGCTTTTTTACTTCAATCACTGTCCCACTGATTAGACTTCAATTTAATGTCTCAAATGGTATCTCACCACAAATGTTTGCTTTACACTTACACACCATAAAAACCCACAGAAACCTGCAGCCAGTCTGAGACTGAATGATTTTAGGTAAACATAACTCCAAAGAGCTTGTAAAGATGCCCTATTACATCTGAAATGCTGAGATGTTATTAATTCTCCTTTAATATTTGAAAAAAATTACTGTTTTTAGCTTTTGATGTTGTGTTTTTAATGATGAAAGCTTCCTTTTTTTAGGAGATAGGATAAAAATATTTTACCTTTTTTTAAAAATTAAAAATAAATACATATTATCACTGTTCTGGTGGTTTCTAAGACTGATTGCCAAGGTAACCTGCCAAATCATCAAATTACCTTTTGCCAGAATGGAAGATTAATCACACTTGGTGACCATACCAATTAGCAACATGGCCCCTCCAGCATAAAAGCTAATAAGATCCAAAGCAAAAAAAAAAAAAAAAAAAGCAGCACAGAATCAAAGTGTTAAAGATGGGAGATTTCTTCCATTTTGCAGGCTTCTTTGTCTCCCGTTTTATGCTCGTTAGCATTACAACCCTCCCCTCTTCAGCCTCGAGTTCTTGTGGCTTTCGCTGTTCTCTGCTGTTGTTACTATATTGTGCACATGCTGAACCTAACATGGGGACAAGCAACACTCTGTAATATAAACAACATACCCTTCGGGTGATGTCTGTTTCTAGCGTGACTGACTTGTCAGGTCAAGCAACCCTCGCTTCACTTGTGTCAATTTTCGTAACTTTATCACATCATCATTTGGCTTCCTAGTTGACAGAACACAATGCTTGGCTATCTTCACACCCTTAGTTTTACTTTGATTGTGCCTTTTCTGTTCCAGATGCAGATCAATCTGAATGATGTGATCATAAGTCCATGATGGCCTCTGCCTCTCTTTTACAGCTATGATGCGTCGTATTCCAAGAATTTGACTTTTATTAGCCCAAAGCACATCCAGAAGACTCCAGATTCATGGTTCTGACACTTTGCATGCAGCCTTCCATAGTCCAGCAATCTCCATATGTTGGACTACAATTCCCATCCATCAGTCCACACACCTTGGGAAATTTCAAGAATTGCACAGTTGAGACATACTTGTTAAGAATAGAAGGCAGTGTCAACAGTTTTAGAATGACATGGAAGAGGAATGCTGCTGCCATCTTCCGGTTCCAGTATAAAATGCAGACTCTCAGATTACCTGTTGAGGGACCAGTAGCCAACTTGAATTATTTGAAGTTTTTATTTAAGATGTGCACTTCAGCCCGTGGTTCCCAAAGTGTGGCCCAGGGCCCACTAGTGTTTCATATGGGAAACTGAAGTGTGCCTTGAAAAACAATAATCACTTGTCCATGTCAAAGCAGCCCCAAGCAGCACTGAGCAAGCCTTCCCTTGGCCTCTACGTAGGCAGCACCACAATTCCATAGGATGGGAACTATGTAATGCACTGGGTTCCTGATGCAGCCAGTGTTATGTCACTAGAAATCTCAGTTCCATCTCTGAACCTTTATTAAGCAAACATGGGGAAGAACACAATATTGAGACGCAGTATGAACTGATCTGCTTCCAGTTGCTAAGATGATGCATGCTTCTTGCTTTGAATGCTAAGAAAGGGAGATGTTGCAGCTGTTGTTGGCCTGCAACTCCAGTCAGTCCTCACCAATAGTGCAAACAGTGAGGGATGATGGGAATTACAGTCCAAACAAGAGGGATGCCCATTTCTCCCTCCTAACCTCTGCATGTAAGACGAAAGGATCATGCCTCCAAATTTAAAATGGAAGAAAAACACAAAATTCAGTGCTCCCTCTGAGATCAAAGGTTTGGAGGATGTTTATCCTAGCAGACGGTTCTAAATAACTTGAACTGGTGATTTTGACAATAGGCACAGGCACTCCCAAACTCAGCAAGAAAGAGGGTAAATAAAATAATGCCATACTCTTTATATAGGTACTCAGTGTGGTGTAATAGACAGAGCACTGGACTAGGACCGGGGGTTTGATACTCCAGCTCTGCCAGGAAAACTCACCGGGTGGTCATGGAACTGGTAAAATCATTCCTAAAATACAGT